CATTGTAACATTTAACTTAATATAATAACACTGCTCCTTGACCCTTAAGGATCATATAAATAGTAATCAATAAATTTTATCGGCATGCATCGCTCAAGAGGCATGTCTATTTCCTGGGGGCTATCCTCGACCTCGATGTCCACTTCGTTGACTTCAGCAACTTCTTCAATTTGATCCTCATTGTCTTCAACAACCTCTTTGCATTTATTGCCCATATCTCATTCCACGTCCAAAATGAAGCATAAGGCTGAATTTCACATCGAGATCTAATATGTTTACATGGCTCGAAACCCCATTCACTTCAACAACTTTATTCGACACGTCTTTTGTTAATGTCTCTGGCTTCCACTTGGTATAATAATTTAATTTGGGTGGTTTCAACCAAACTTTATTACCTGCTTTGAATATTTTTTTGTGCCATTTTTTGCCAGATGATTACTTTTTCTTAAGCCCTTGATACCAGTTAAATAACTATATATTTTCTCCATTGATTGTACGTCATTTTTGTTCACAGCAACGTTGTACCAGTATACTGCTTCCGCTATTGATATTTTAGATTGCTCTACTATTTTTTTTAATGTGCAATGGTTTCTTTACACAATTCCGTTTCCCTAAGGATAGTAAGCTTCCCAAAATGTGATACACACTCCCCAACTGTCAAGGAAACCCTTCATTTCTTCAGCCTTAAACGTTTCCTCATTTTCTGTTAATATTTCGGATGGCGCTCCTCGTTCACAAAAGAGAAGACGGAGAATTCAAACTATGGCAACATTTCCGTATGAACTTAAAAGTTGTCACAACAAAGCGTATCTTAAAGGTTCGCAATCAATTAGTTCGATAATGCGTAATATCCATGGCTAATCTTTCCCAATTTTCTTTAACGTTCAAACTACCTTTCGTCCACTGTACAGGTGCTGGATCTATTGACTGACACGGTTCGCAATTTTTTAATACCATTTGAACTTTTTAGTTGCATTTAGAAGTATTTCACGAACAAAGTTTAACGTTCTACTCTCTCCAAAATATCCAGTTCTTTTGTATATGCTTATGATGAATTCAGGCTCCGCAACTACTACTCCAATACAATTTTTCAGAAGCTCATTCCCAATCAACTTATTTAACCATCTGCTGCAAACTCTTGTTAATGCATCAGCTAAATTATCTCCAAAGGAACTACATTTACGTCAACTTTCAAATCTTATTCTTCAATTAGTTGTTGCAGTACGTTTATTCTACTTCGAATTAACATTTCACCCGTTGCTTTTGATTTAAACCTTGATTTTCCAATAAGTGCGTCAGAAATCAAGTGGAATACTATTGCAGAGTCTGTAAAAACTGTCATTTTTTCCAGTTTTCACGTCAAGCCATATTTAATCCTCGTTGCACCGCGTCTAGCTATGCCATGTGTATATGAACGTCCAACTTTTCTTATCTCAACCATGTTGCATTTTTCACAATCGTATCCATGTTGCATTTTCTAAATTGCTAAAGAACTTGCATCAGTCCACACCTTTCCCTCTTTGCCATCCACAGCCCAATCCCTACAAGCTGGCTCGCAAGTACACATTTCACATTTTCATCACAAATTTCATCCCAACCCTTCGTCCCAACCCTTCGTCAAACTGACAACTCTTTATTTCAACAGACTAAAAACAACTCGTAAACAACCACACACAGGTAAATGACCCACTAAAATAATTTCGTCGCGTATTTTGATATCATCAATCTTGAGATTCACAGTCCACAGGATCCACTTGATGATTGACACATTGATGAACACATTGATGAACTTTACCTTCAAAAGTTACAACCATCGGAGATTTTAATCTTTTATTCTGATTTTTAGACGGAAAATTGTGATTCAAAATTGTCTTTGAGCATCCCGTGTTTACCATAGCTGTTGCTACCATGCCATTAACTTTTAAACAAATAATAGATAAAGCGCTGATTCGTTTTTTGCTCAGAAGCAAGGTTGTACAGATCACTCGCTTCTGTACTCGTTTCCCTGCATCTTTAAGCATCTTGAACCCATATGTACTTTGTCACAACATTTTAAACACCGAAGGATCATCTTCTAAGACAAGTTCTTTGCAAATAAACAGTTCTTTGTAATGTGGTGTAACCCTTGCCGCATGTAAAACACTAATGGATTTTTTGAAGCTTGATGTTGAGACACAGCGCCAATAGCGTTACTGTTATTTATCTTCACGTGATTCAAAGCAGATCTTACTTTGGGTAACATAATATTAATTGGGTCCTTTATCGCTCGAAATTGTGATGATAAAAATTCTGGCAATCCCACAACAAATGCCAAACGTACTGTCTCTTCAGACAATTTTGCAAGTTAAGGCAATTGTTTCAAATCAGCCAAAAACACATCAACTCTCTCTCTCTCTCTCTCCATCATGTAACTTCGGTTTTGTGTAAGGCTCATACGCACTGTAAATGAGAATGAAGCATAAAATGAAACTCAATGAGTACGTTGCTAGCAGCACTTGCTCGATTTCGATTGCATCTAGCTTATCTTCAATGGTTAAAGCGTCATAAACCGAATACGCAGTTTTAAGAAGAATTGGAAAAAGTAGCTCCAACTTTTTGTTCTGCATTTAAGTTATTACTTTGGTTCTTTGCATCCACACCACAGCATCTGAATTTTATCATATCATTTCAAACATATCATATAATATCATAATTGAACTCATGGCCCGGTTAGCTTAAAGTTTTCCCGCAGAAATATAACATTAAGTCAATTTTTAAACACGCTCGCACTTTGATTACAAACCACTTGACGTCACGGAACACTGTAACATTTAACTTAATATAATTACATAATGCCAATGTTTTTTATTTCTGCATTTTTTTAAAACATAGTTTTTCCTTACTTCAGTAAATATATTCTTCTGTGGTTTATTACAAATCTATAACTCATTATAACATTAAACCATAAGTTATTAAATCATACCATTATACTTGAAGTTTTAAAGCTCATTATACTTAAAATTGGTCACTTTGTTAAGGATATTATTACCAGAAAAATAATAGCTAGTTAAGTAGTTTAAAAAAAAAAACACTTGGAGTTACATAAAAATGAGAAGAAAAATATCTACTTTTTTTATAACTTTTATAATTATAAAAAAATATATTATTTATTTAATAAATTTTCTAATTTTGTTCAAAGCATATAAATTTCCGACATGCTTTATGTATCTTGTAGTTTAAGTTATTGGAATAGCAGTGTCATTTATTTTCCTAGGTATCTTTATTTATTAGAAAAGTTTTACGTTTTATACTTTATCTAATTTGATTGCATAGTTATAATTTTCAAAAAAAAAAATAAGGCTACTAAAGGAAGAAAAATGAGCTTTTTTAAAAATTTGAGTTCGTTTCATAAAAAAACAATAAAAAAAAAAAAAAAAACTAAGAATAGCTTTTATAAAAATGTTTTAATAATAACGATGTTTTAATAATAACGATGGTGTAACGTTACAACTGTCTAGCGGTACAGGATTTGTAGTTTTGAGGATAAATTTTATTAAAAAAAACAAAAACACTTGGCGTTTATTAGTTTGTAACTAATAAATGATAAAATGAGAATTAACTGATAAAACCATACTTTCAGTTAATTTACAAGAATCTTTCTAAAAAAACCTTTAAAAACCATTTGGTTATAAAAGTAAGATAGAATAAATACTCTTACTAAATGTAATAATAGGAAATCTTCTGAATTAAAATTGCAAATGCACTTGATTCACAATGCTGCTTATTTTCATGTTCATTGTAACATGAAAATGGTTAAACATGGCTTAATCATTTATTTCAACATACAAAAGGTGGAACATTGTTTTTTATTCCTAAAAGTTACTTTATTGTAAAAACAAATTAAAGTAAAATGTTTCATCAAGCACAGAGTAATTAAGTTTTTTTTATTTTATATTATATAAAGTTCTGATATCTCGTAGTAACAAATATTATCTTATTAAATTAAAAAATTACTATCTTACTAAAACCAATTATAAATCATTCAAGTTTGAGATCTTAGCACTTAAAATTTAATGCAGTTTTAGAATGTTTTGAATTAGCTTGTTTGTTGACCTTAATTGTTATAAAAGAAGTGAACAAAAAGAAAAGAAGAAGTTAACAAATAATTGAACATAATAAATAAGTATTTATGTAAAACATAAAATACTTATCAAGTTTTTTTATTGCAGTGCTAAAAAGTTTTATCAAGAACCACTTTCTTTCAATAAGATATTTATGATTTTCAAAATAAAATTCATTTTATGTTACTTTTTTTTTTTAGAGAATAACGTAAACATTTTTATATGTAAGGTTTTTAAGTTTCTAAATTATATAATAAATCATAGATTTAATATTATAGATAAAACCATAGACTAAATTATAGATTTTTAAAGTTTTTTAATTTCTGATTTTTAGGATAAACTATAAATGTTTGCTTTTTTATTAATAAAAAATTTGTAGATTTTCAAAATTTGCAAAAATAACGATAACAATATCAATTTATCTCTATTTTTTGCTTTGATTCTTCAAAGATAGCATTTGTTATGATTATGATGTTATAATAAGTAAATTAGTCAACTATAATGTGCAGTTTTTTTGTGCATAATTGCAATGAAACTATATGCTGTTAAACTTTTTAATGTCATTTACTTTTTCATTGTTAATATTTTTTATTTTAATTATTAGTTACCTTTTATTATTTAATAATAAAAAATATTTTATTTATTTTTTATTTTGAAGTTTTGATTTATATAATCCACACATAACTCACTTTTATTTATATAATCCACTCATTTTAGACAATTAAAATTTATTTATGAAATTACTTTATAACAAAAATATTGTTTTTTTATTTGTATTATCAAAATTTAATAATAAAAATATAATATTAAAAACATTAATTTCAGATATTATAATATATTGGTATTTTAATTTTTATAAAATTGAAGAAGAAATATTAAACCATAATTAACTTGTCAAACTTTATTATTGTCAGGAATGGCATGTAACAACGGTGAGGAATAACATTCAGCAAGTTATGTCCTTAAAGGGTCAAAGTAATGACATAAAAATTACCCTGTTAAAAGAAATAGAACAAATTCAGTATGGAACTTTAGTAAAAAAATTTGCTCACAAAGAAACTGTAGAAGAACTAAAGAATTTAGTAATAATCTTAAATGATCTTGGTTATTTAACCACCAAGCTAGGGGAGTTAAGCGGCAATATTAAATACTATACAGATGCATCAGTATTTCATCAGTATGTTATTGCCATTTTAGATGAAAAAGATGGAGCATCAGGAAAAATATTAAGTTTAGAAGAAAAAAATAAAATTTCAAAACAAGAATTATCCGGTTCATTTCAACAATTAGCTCATATACAACAATTAATATTCTCTGCAATTAGAACTAATCAGTCACAAATCGTTCCAAATGTTAAAGATGAATCAACTAATAATAAAACTATATTATCAAAAATACGCAAAGAGACCGAGGAAAGATTAAAAAAAGTAGAAGATGATCGTCAGCAAGCAATTAATAACCAAGAAGAAAAACAACAATATCAGGAATCATATGTAAAGGAAGTAAGAAAGTTATTTGAATCAATAGCCAGTAACATGCAAGAGTTTTTAGCAAAAACATATAGTGATAGTGAGCAAGAAATTGGTACCCCACCTTGTAAATATGCCGTAATAGGTTTAGGGTCGATGGCTCTTAAACAAATGACACCATATTCAGATTTAGAATTTGCTATCCTTACAGAGAATAAAGAGTACAAACAAAGTAACGATCCTAAAATAAAAGAATATTTTAAGAATTTAAGCCATTTGGTCAACTTTAAGATAATCAATTTAGGAGAAAGCATAATCCCAACCAGTAAGTATGGTCTTGATATGAGTCATCTAGTGCATAGAGCAGTAAATTTAGATATTGGAGGAAAAACTCCACTTGGTAGGATAGATGGTGATAAGCCTTATGAATTAATAAAAACAGTAAAACGGATGATGTATTATGTACGTAATAAGGAAGAGAAAGCAAGTCATATAGATAAAAGCTTACCATATATCTTGGAAAATGTTTGTTATGTGCATGGGGATAAAGAAATAGTAGAAAGTTACCAAAATAAAGATACAGAATTTTTACTAAGTGAAAATGTATATAATCTGTTTAGTAGAAAAAATTGTGAGATAAGAGCAATTAAATTACTAGAAGAAGTATCAGTGGAAATCGATTATATTCAACAAACATTAGGTTTAAAACCTAAAGAAACTAAATATAAAGGAGATCTGGAAAAATTACAACCTGCTTTATATAGTACTGCAGGCAGACTATTTAATGTCAAGCAGGAAATTTACAGATTGCCTGATCGCCTATTGTACAATCTTGGTCTATATTATGGTGTTAAAGGAAACGGTCTCTGGGATACAGTGGATATATTAACAAGTCATGGAATTATTACTCCGCAAGCAGCAAAAAATCTAAAAAATGCTTTAACTTTTGCAACTACGCTTAGATTAAAGACCTATTCTCATCATAAAGCACAGAAGGAGGATATGTCAGTATTTGCTAAACCAGCTGAAACTGAACTTAAAGAACAAATCATACAGATATTTCGTTTATCTGAAAAAGACTTAGGAGAACAAGGAGAGTTAATCCAGTATTTTTATACAGCTTTACCTTTCCATAAGAAGCTACAAAAATTTTGTGAAAAATATCAAACATTAAACAAGCAGACGTTTTTTCGGAACAGCAATTTTTATAAAGACCATTTTGCTAATAAAGGTTTCATCTATTACAGACTAGCCCAGTATGCAATGGCTCAAAGCAATTTAGAAAAAGCGCTCGAGAACTCAAATAATCAAGGTAACTGGCAAGTAAGAAATACTTTAGGACAAATATATACTAGTTTTGGTAATGGAGACAAAGCTATAAAGCAATTCGAGTGTTGTTTAGAGATGAAAAAACTCATCCATAAAGACCAACCTCATGCGGATGTTGCTGCTTCTTTAAATAATATAGGGACTGCTTATAGTGCTAAAGGACAACATAAGCAGGCAATCAAATACTATCAAGAAAGCTTGAAGATGGAAAAACTCATCCATAAGGACCAACCTTATCCGGATGTGGCTACCTCTTTAAACAATCTAGGAACTAGGAACCCTGCTTATTGTGCTAGAGGAAAATATGAACAGGCAATTAAAAATTACCAAGAAAGCTTGGAGATAAAAAAACTCATCTATAAAGACCAACCTCATTTGGATGTGGCTGATTCTTTAAATAATCTAGGATCTGCTTGTATTGCTAAAGGAAAATATGAACAGGCTATTAAATACTTTAAAGAAAGCTTGGAGATAAACAAACTCATTCATAAAGACCAACAACATTTGGATGTGGCTACTTCTTTAAATAACCTAGGGACTGCTTATAGTGATAAAGGACAATATGATCAGGCCATTAAATACTCTCAAGAAAGCTTTGAAATGAAAAAACTCATCTATGAAAATCAACCTCATCCGGCTGTGGCTGCTTCTTTAAATAATCTAGGTAATGTTTATCGTGCTAAAGGAAATTATGATCAGGCAATTAAACATTTTCAAGAAAGTTTGGAGATGAACAAAATCATACATAAAAACCAACCTCATTCAAATGTTGCTGGTTCATTAAATAATATAGGAGCTGCTTATAGTGATAAAAAACAATATGAACAGGCAATTAAATATTATCAAGAAAGTTTGGAGATGAGCAAATTAATCCATAAAAACCAACCTCATCCAGATGTGGCTGCTTCCTTAAATAGTCTGGGAAACAGGTATAGTGATAAGAGACAATATAATCAGGCAATTAAATGTTATCAAGAAAGCTTGGAGATATACAATCTTATTCATAAAGACCAACCTCATCCGGCAATGGCTGCTTCTTTAAATAATCTAGGGACAGCTTTGAGCGATAACCAACAATATGACCAGGCAATTAAATATTATCAAAAAAGCTTGGAGATGAACAAACTCATCCATAATTACCAACCTCATCCGAATGTGGCTACTTCTTTAATGAATCTAGGTAATGCTTATCGTAATAAAGTTCAATATGATCATGCAATTAAATACTCTCAAGAAAGCTTAGAGATGAGAAAACTGATCTACAAAGACCAGCTTCATTCTGCTGTGGCCGAATCTTTAAATAATCTAGGGAATGTATATAGTGATTTAGGACAGCATGATCAGGCATTCAAATGTTATCAAGAAAGCTTGGAGATCAACAAACTCATTCATAAAGACCAACCTCATCCGAATGTGGCTGCTTCTTTAAGTAATCTAGGTACTGCTTATCGTGATATAGGACAATATAATAATGCAATTAAATACTCATATAAAAGCTTAGAGATGAGAAATCTGATCTACGAAGATCAACCTCATCCAGATATGGCTGCTTCTTTAACTAATGTAGCTGCTGCTTATAGTGCCAAAGGACAATATGATAAGGCAGTTAAGTATTGTCAAGAAAGCTGGGAGATGAACAAACTCATCCATAAAGATGAACCTCACCCGAATGTGGCTACTTCTTTAATGAATCTAGGGACTGTTTATCGTAAAAAAGGACAATATGGGCAGGCAATTAAATACTATCAAGAAAGCTTGGAGATGAGAAAAATGATCTACCAAAACCAACCTCATCCCGATGTGGCTGCTTCTTTAATTAATCTAGGAACTGCTTATAGTGATAGAGAACAATATGATCACGCAATTGAATACTATCAAGAAAGCTTGGAGATGAACAAAATCATCTATAAAGATCATCCTCATGCAGCTGTTGCTGATTCATTAAATAATATAGGAGCTGCTTATAGTGCTAAAGGACAATATGATCAGGCAATTAAATACTTTCAAGAAAGCTTCGAGTTAAAAAAACTCATTTATAAAGATCAAACTCATCCAGCTATGGCTGCTTCTTTAAATAATCTAGGGACTGCTTATAGTGATAAAGGACAATATGATCAGGCAATTAAATATTATCAAGAAAGCTTGGAGATGAATAAACTTATTCATATATATCAACCTCATGCGCCTGTGGCTGATTCTTTAAATAATCTTGGGACTGCTTATTATGATAAAGGGCAATATGATCAGGCAATTAAATATTATCAAGAAAGCTTGGAGATAAAAAAACTCATATATAAAGATCAACCTCATCCGGCTGTGGCTGCTTCTTTAAATAATTTAGGGACTGCTTATAATGATAAAGGACAAAATGATCAGGCAATAAAATATTATCAAGAAAGCTTGGAAATGAGCAAACTGATCCATAAATACCAACCTCATTCGGCTTTGGCAGACTCTTTAAATAATCTAGGAGCTGCATATAGTGCTAAAGAGCAATATAATCAGGCAATTGAGTACTTTCAAGAAAGCTTGGAGATGAATATACTTATCTATAAAGATCAACCTCATCCGACTGTGGCTGTTTGTTTAAATAATCTAGGGACAGCATATAGTGATAAAGGACAGTATGATCAGGCAATCAAACATTATCAAGAAAGCTTGGAGATAAACAAACTTATCCATAAATACCATCCTCACGAGACTGTTGCTGATTCTTTATATAGTCTAGGAAATGCTTACAGTGATATAGGACAATTTAATGAAGCAAATAAGTACTCTCAAGAAAGCTTAGAGATGAGAAAAGTGATCTACCAAGACAATCCTCATCCAGCTGTTGCTGATTCTTTAAAAAATCTAGCTTATGCTTATAATGATAAGGAACCATATGATCAGGCAATTAAATTTTACCAAGAAAGCTTGGAGATGAGAAAGCTGATTTACCAAGACCAACCTCATCCAACTGTGGTTGATTCTTTAAATAGTTTAGGAAATGCTTATAGTGATAAAGGAAAATATGATCAGACAATTAAGTATTATGAAGAAAGCTTGGAGATGCAGAAACTGATCTACCATGACCAACCTTATCTGGGTATGGCTGCTTTTTTATTTATCCTAGAAACTGCTTATAGTGAAAATGGACAATATGATCAGGCATTTAAGTATATCAACCAAGCATTGCAAACAGCGTCAGTTTTCCAAGACCTTTTTTATTCAAATATTATAGAAAATGGTTTAGTGCAAATAACTATTGCATTTGCTGATAAATATTTTTTAAACGAAGAGGAGACTGTAAAAAGAACTCAATTTTTTTCCAAACAAGGATTAGATTTTACAGACTCTAATATACATTTTGATTTGGCATTATCGCTAGAAAGTAGTAATGAAGAGCAACAAATAATAACTCGCCATGATCTTTTGTCCTGAAGATCAGTTAGAAATTAAACGAACAATATGCCATAAGTTAGCTGAACTAACAAATGAGGATCAAAGAAGTATTGAATTATGGTTAGCAATAGCAAAAAGCAATACTACTGAAGTACAAAAGCTAACTGCTGAAGGAATTGATTTTAATCATGCATTATTCATGAATACTACTCCTTTAATACAAGCAATAGCAACAGGCAATACTACTATTGTATCTGCATTACTTTCAGGAAATTCAGAAAATATCGACATTAATAAAACCGAGCAAGATCAAGCTTCTCCGTTATATTGTTCTCTAGGTTACCTTGGGCAACCAGTAAATATGGCTATAGTTAAACTATTATTAGACAATGGTGCTAGGGTTAATCAACCATTGTATGATGGCAATACTCCTATGCACATGGCACATTATAATGGGAACATAGAAGCTATAAAATTGTTACTACAGCATGAAGGTAATATTAATGCCCAAAATGCTGAAGGCAAGACACCATTACATTATTTGTTAGAGGGAAAGGATATTAACTTAGAAACTAAGCTAGAAATAATACAAACTTTTAACCAACTATACGATGTGACTCTTAGGGATCAAGACGGCAAAATAGTAACAGATTATGCTTCTAGTGAAAATTGCCCGGAATCATTGTCCTTACTTATTAATGAGTTATTGGATACTAGTCCTGTTAGCACTAGTGTAAATATGGATGATATAAATGTAGCTGCTTGCTGATGTTGACTTATCTAAAACAAATTTGAATTCACCTAGTCCAAAATAAGATAAACACTTGACGTGAACGGACCTGCTTTTGTAAACTAAATTAAAAATAGCTAATTTTTCCGTTTCTCAAATTAAAGACCTATTAGATATTTATAAGAATACTTTATTAAAAATATTTAACCAGAAGTTTGATAAAATGAAAATTAAGCTAAGGTCTCCGCCGATCTCCTAGTAAACAAAGGAGATTGGTGGAGTTTCTTAGCAAGAAATATGAATTAATTGTTTAAGAACATTCTAAAGTAAAAAAAACTCGATATCAAACCAAAATGGTATAACAATCATTGTTGTGAAAGACTAATTAGCTGAGTTCGAAGTCAGGAGCAGAAGGAATAACCTAAGGTTTGCGGGAATTGAAGAAGGCGTAAATGAAACATGGGATTTGAGCGAGGTAAAGATTCAAAATGTTTTAAAGACAAAACTTGGTTTAAAAAGTATTGTTGAAATTGAAAGGGCGCACAGGACATGGAAAAAAAGTAGCGATGAAAAAAAGTACGACAGAACCAAGATAGTATAATTTTTGAACTACAATGAAAAAAAAAAATGCGTTGGATAATTATGTTCATTGAAATTCTGTAACGATCGGCTTGGCGTAAACGAAGTCTTAAGCGAAAAATCTAAAGATTTAAGAGCAAAAGGTAAATATGGTAAAGTTGAATATAATAAACTTTTAAGGCGTGACTTTTAAGAAATTCTTTTAACTTAAAGTTATTATATTTTCTTTATTACTTCTAATTTTTATTGTTTTTAAATGCTATGAGTGATTTAAATCACTGTAAGATTTTTGAAATTTTTTAATTCAATGATTTTAAACTTAACAAAGAGTCTGATCCGGATCAAAGTTGTTTTAGTGAAACAGATGCTTTAAAAAGCAACTGCAGCTATTTTTATAGTTATGAAGTAAAAGAATTTCTTTAGCGTGATAAATTTAATGCAATTTGTTTAAAGAAGATTAAAAAAACATTTTAAAAACCTTTCCTTTAGTTATGAGGAAAATCTTACTATTTTTAGTGTAATATGTCTAACTAAAAGTTGTCGTACTTCTGATTTTGTCAAATTAACTCAAATTTAGATAACAATTTTATAATACCGAGCTACAACTTGATTTGATTAGGGCAAAAAATAAACAAACGCGGCGATGGTTTTAAATATTTATGTAAAAGAAAACCTACGGTATTATATTAGGCATGACATCAGTATTTCTGACGTCAATAAAGAGGTTTTAACGATTGAAATATTAATCAATAAAACTAAAAATATTGTCATGAGCTGTTGTTATCGCTAACCTGCTTTCGAAATTAAAACTTTTAGTACATTTTTACATGATGATGTTACAAATAAATGCAACCACGAAAAGAAATTACTTTACATTTTAGGTGATCTGAATTTAAGCTGCTTTGAATACCACGTCAAAAATCATATTAATGGGTTTTATAATGGCTTATTCAAAAATGGAGCAATTCCTATAATAAACAAACCAACTAGAATCACTCCAAAAACAATTTCTTTAATTGATAACATTATAACAAACGATATTTTTTAATAATTCCCTTTTTAATAGATACTTATCCGAAAATTTTATACAATGGAAAAAAATCATTTAAAAAACGAGTTTTTTATAATAAAAACCTAAAATCATTCGAATATTAACTATTTTTAATTAATTGGGAAATTACTAACCTTTCTGAAGGCATTAATTTAATATTAAATTAATGTGTTTAGAAAAGTTTAAAAATTCATAAAAAATTTAAAAAAAAGATTTGTATATTATAATATACAAATGTTTTTTTTAAATTTTTTATGAAATTTATGATATCAGTTTCCCCATTGTAGAAGTAGATTATAAAAATAACAAAATATTAAATTGCTATGGATTAAAAAGGGTATTCTAAAAGCTTGTAAAATTAAACAAAAATTTTGAATTAAATTTCTAAAATAAAAAGGAACTGAGAGTAAAACCATTTATAAAAATTACGTAAGATTGTTTGAACGCTTTAAGAAAAGTTCAAAAAATTATATATTACACTAGCTTACTTGAAAAATACAAATTAAACTAAAAATGCATTTGGTGACTAATAAACGAAATTACAATTAAAACTAAAAAAATGTCGCAATCTTTGGCATACTCTTCCAAATTTTTAAATGCTCTATTAATGGGAGTTTTTCCTGATGATTTAAAAATAGCAAAAATTATTCCTATATTAAAATAAGAAGAAAATCTAATGTAAAATACTATCGTCTAATTTCCATCTTCTTTGTTTTTTCTGAAATTTTCATTTAAAATTCTAAACTCACATTGATAATATTTTTTGATTTAGCGAAAGCGTTGGATATAATTAATTACAAAGATTTTGTTCAAAAACTGCAATATTATGGTATAACAGGCAAATTGTTCTCAAAGGGTTGAAAAGTTATTTAAATATTCGTAAACAATTTGTTTACGCTAATAAAACATTTTCATCAAATTTGTTAAGTATTATAAGTGGAGTTCCTCAAGGATCCGTATTATGACCTCTTCTTTCCCTTATTTATTTTAATAATATAAACAAAGTCTCAAGTTTAATAACAATTATGTTTGCTAATGACACAAACTTATTTATGTCACACAAAAGCATTACTATTCTATTTCATTGCGTGAACATCGAGTTCACGTAATGTAAGATTAATAATCTCCTAACATTGTAAAAACTAAATGGAATCTTTTCTATCCTCACTAAAAAGCATAAACTTACAATTAACATGCCTTAACTTGTTATTGGCAATATACAAATTACAAAAGTAACAGCGACCAACTTTCTAGGTGTTCGTATAGATAAAAATCTAACATGAAAAAATCTGAATAAAACTTAAAAAAGTATAGGAAAATTGTACAAAGCAAGAAATGTTTTAAACACACTTTAGTATAGTTATATCACTCATTTATTCATTATCACATAAACTATGCAAACATTGCTTGGAGTAGTACAAATAAAAGTAAACTTAAACCTCTTTATTGTCAGCAGAAGCTTGTAGCACGTCTGATATATTTTAAAGACGGTTATACTCATGCCAAGCCTCTAATATTTGAAATGAAAGTTTATAATATATATATGAGCCTAATATTTTTAATACTCTTTGTTTTATGCTTAAATGTAAAACTAGTTTATTACCAATTTCTTTCTATAATTTGTATTTATCAAAAGATAAAAATAAATACATTCTTCGCAATAATAATTTTATTAAGCAGCCCATTTTTTAAATTAATTTTTTTTAGACTTTGTATTAATTATTGTGAACCATTTTATGGAATAAAATAGTTTTAAAATATATTACTGAGGATTTTTTTCATCAAAGTAATTACTTTTCTTCTAAACAAAATCTTAAAAAACTCATTTTAACAACTAAAAATTTAATGATATACTTCTGATATTTTTTTAGTGATCTTAACCTCTATTTAAGTATGAATTTATTATATTTTTATAATTATAATTAATAATTGTAATCTACATACATAATGGATATATTGCATCTTGTACTTATAGCGGAATTATTTTATTTTAATAATTTTTTTAAATGTTTTATTATTATGTATTTGTATTTTTAATATTGTAATGAAATACTTATTAAATTGTAAAAAAAAATTAATAAAAATAAGTATTAGTGTGACTAATTGTTATGCTAACGGACCTCTGAAACGTTATACTCTTTTATATACAACATTAGCTTAAACTAGTAATGTTTAACCTTGATTAACAAAAGATTGTTGAAAAAACTAAATCTCATACAAGGAAACAATTGGAATAATATATTGAAGAAAGAAAGTGATTTAACAATGAAATTATAGATGAATATATATTATAAAATTTAACTGAAAATATAGTAATACCTAAAATGAAAGCCGGAACGATGATTTTAAAAGTCTATTGTATAATAGTGATATTTTTGTTAATAAAAGTTTACTAGTTTGTCCAGCGTAGCTGAACTTGAGAAAAGCAAAATCCATACCGTGCGCCCCTAATTGTTGCCAAATTAACTCAATTGCTTCAAAAATAGTATCATTACTTTTAATATTCAAAAGAATCCTTTTTTATTCTGTATTTTATACTATAATATCGGAAACTCATTTATAACACTATTATACGTCAATTACCTGCTTTTTCATCCATGTAAATAAAAAATGTCTTAATTTACAAAGAGTGGTAGTATGATCCATATTAGCTTGTTTGGTATATATCATTAAAATCTTCCTAATACCTCGCACTGAATAAGACTTATTCCAATTTAATTCAAATAAGTATTCTTTTATTTCTTTTTTTTTTTATGCTTTTAACGTAAGATGTAAATACTTTTCTAACACTTATTGGTAGGCTCAATGTCACGGAATAAACGATTGGCCGCCACTTTGCTTTAAGCAGGAAATTTCTTTATAACATTTTCATATTTTTTCTGAGCATATGCTAATATTAATCTTGAATAAATTCATACTAATTGACGACTCTCTTTAGTGTTCTGCTTTTTTAACCAAGTAAATAAAAAATGCTTTAGTTTTTGTTTCGAAATATATTCTTTAATTCCAACACCTTTAGTATATCTGGGTAAAATTTTTCTAAATCCTCTAACAGTATATGACTTCTTTCACGAAAACTCAAATACATATTTTGCTGCTTTTTTAACCATGTTATTTGCGTTATTACAAATGCTTCCTTAATTTAATAGGAAACAGAACTATTCTATATTTTATAATAGAAAATATATATATGTATTATTGTTTATTGTTGGCCAACGGTTATTTATTACTTGTTGTAACAATGCTAAATGATTGGATAGTGCTTGAGCATCTCTTATAAATTTATTTTTATCTCACTAACTTTATTATCCTTAGCATTAGGAACAATCTTTACTTATTTGTTATAAAGAATACTTTTATTTAGTTGTCGTAAATTATATTTTAAATCATCTTTGATCTGTGGTTCCATTGGTAAACTAAGTAATTAATAATAAAATTCCAGGTATAAATTAAAATCTTTAGCAAATCTTCAACCAGACTTTGAAAATAATAGACTCCATCTATCAAAATCAGCTTACGAACTAATAAGCTATGCACTTTCTCTAATAATGCTCTTTCGTAATTTCTTCGGTGAATAATTTCTACTTACTTCTATTAAATCTAAATCTGGTACTTCTTCGGCATCTACATAATGCTTATCCTTAAACCCTTATTTCCATAAATAAATTTAATAGCTTATGATATTGATTTGTATCTATTATTTGTTTAAAAGCAAATTATTCTGGTTAAGTTAAATAATACTCGACGATGTGAATGAGAGTATGAGAATATTAACTTCTATTGCACTTGCTGTTCATACCATGTATTTTTATTTACTCTTTAGTTCAACATTCCAGATTTTTTTACTAATTTTAGGGTAAATAGTATCTTGGATAACACCACTCGGGTGTTATGCAGCCGTTTCTGCTAGTTTATATAAAAAATCCAATTTACCATAAATACAAATTACCTCTGATAATTTCTGCTTAATGATTGCGACCTCAGCTGAAGTCCAAATATTTTGAATTAACTGCAGCAATGTTTCTGCTAAACCGTGAGTTAGTAACTTAAAACGCAAATGGCAAAATACTGGCATAAAGAGCTTTTTTATTGTATTCCATATATATATATATATATATATATATATATATATACATATATATATATATATATATATATATATATATATATATATATA